TACTATACACGTTAGATGTGATCCACCTCATAGTAACAATCCTGTCCGATCATTCATCCTTTGAGTGAGAGAGTGTAATGTTACAGGTCGGCCGATCTGGTTTCGTGGTTAAAGTTAACCTTTTCGACATGTTTCTGTGTTGTTGTTGCTCAGCAATGGCACTGACGCGATGTTGTCTGGGGGTTTGGCAAAAGGAGAGTGGGACTGTGGGCGGTGCTCGGGGCGGTGACTGAGTAGTTCTGACTTCAACTTTTTACGGAAGTCACAACGGTTTGCGAAAAATCACAGTTACTTTATGCAGTCTGTGTGAATTTTACTGTGGACTGACTGTTTTGAAACTTATATGGTAGTTAAATATCCCCTAGACCTCAGTAATCGTGAAAAAAGCCAGGACATTTCAGTTTTGACAATATGGGACCTTTAAATGCAAGGAATAAGATTAAATTATTGGTGTTGCCATGTAGTAAACTGTCCATTTGCCTACAAAGAACTTGAGATGTCCCAAAATAGTCAGCACAGTGGGGGGGTGAAAGCACTGTCGCTACCTGGAAGTGGTACGTTTGATGGATGAGGTAACTGGGGGCAGACCATCTGTGACTGTCCAACTCATAAGCGCTACCATTTCTGTTGCATTTGAGAAACAGCAAACAGCAAACAGCAAACGAAACAAAAGCGAAATGAAACCGAGCTACATTTCAGCTGCGCAGCGCGGACCGTTTATCAGCTCGGACCGCGACGCAAAGAAACTTGTCAGAGCTCAGAACAGCTTTACTCGGGAGCCAAAGTTGATTTTGCGACACTGTTACTGCACAGATGCAACAGTGCTGCAAGAGTCAGTGAGAAGCGTTTGAATTCGCCACACAATGATAAGGTTGCTGTGAGTTCTAGTGAGAAGCATTCAAATTCTGCACAGAATTCTCTGTTATAAACAGTGCTGATATACGTCAGGAAACCAGAAGCAATAACGCTAACTGTAACCATGGTGTTGTTTTAGAAATAGTCGAATACATTACATCATTCATTTCAGGGTTTGTACAACCTTTTGAGAGAGAAATTCAAGCACTTTTCAATGACTTTCAAGCATTTCACACAACTATTTCCAGCACTTTAACGTACTAAAATGATCCAGTTTGAATGTTATTTTTAATGGGATGACCAAAATATACATTTACCTGTGGTAAACAAACAATTATGTAAAATTTAAAAAATACATCAAATCACAATTATAACCAGTAGTCAGCAGCAGAGGTTATTGGCTTATTAGCCATTTATTTCAACTTTTTCTCTATATTTTGAAATGATAAAATCACTATTATAAAATATCAAATCATCAAGAAATCAGATTTTGTCAGAATTTTACACTTTTTTTGTGTATGAAGTAATAAAAGTCACAAAGTGCCTTGAAAAACAAACTTTTCTTCAATTTGCTACTAAATCACACAATCACTGAAGTTGGTCAGTTCCATATACTAGAAGAATAATGGTACATTTAATAAGAGTGGAATATATAATTTTTCTATATAAAAATTAGATTTTGCACCGGTTACTGTTGTTAATAAAAGTAATTTTTGTATGCATCTTAACTCAAGCTTAGTGCTTTACTGTCAAATCTGTATAAACAATAAACAAAAGGAAAAAAAACAAGAAATGAACATGTAATATTATTAGTAACTGCACTTATTAATGCAAAACAATAGTAATTTTATGATTAAATGATCTATATTTTAATACTCTCCCCCCCCCCACCCCTACAGTGATCGTCCATCCTCTATCTTACAAAGCATTTATTAAAACACTCACGTACCTCAGTCCCGTTAGGGACCTCAATTGCTTATTTCCGTAGCTGAACACATTAGCATATTGAGCCGATCTGTGTTCCTGACAGTGTATGGGAATGCTGACACTTTGAACTGCCCCTCTCTCGATATTGAGCTTTCAATATGACCATATCAGATCAGGCCAGAGAGAGAGAGGGCCGTAATAACCCAATAAATTGCCTCCCTGGGGCACCAGTGTGTTCACAGAATATCAAAACTCCTCTTTCTTATACTCTGCAGACTGTGAAGGAAAAAGGTTCCTCATAAATCTAGCTGCGGTAATTAGTGTTTCATGGGAGGTTTATTTAATAAAATCATCACTTGATCTCAACAGACTCTGACATTGCAAACCTATATCTGAAAAACTACTGCGTTAAGCCTCACAAATCATGTTAAGAGTTTTGATAGACAAGAAACTTAATATAAAAGCCACATGACAGGTGCTTCAATAAGTCTGCCTATTCCTCTACTCTATTTTCCTCTCTTTCATTTTCCATCAATCCACTTTCCCTGCAGAGGGACATCAAAGCGGTTTTGAAGGAAAGAAAAGGCCGCACCACAGCTGTAGTGATACTGGAAACTGTGTGGGGCTTCAACTGAATGCTTCAACTGAAGCCATTGATCTGTATGGATTAATTCTTATCTGCTGGATTTAGACACTGGCATTGATTATAATACCATACTGGCCACATTATCATTAAGATTTAAACTAGCTTAATCCTGTGGTCACATGACATCACAACTGTTATTCAATGGATCACCCGCTTGTATTTAAAAAGAAAAAGGCATCCAAAGTATTCTGGTCCTGAGGTAATAATGGAGTTCTTCCTTAAAAGAGTAGTTCACTTTCAGAATGAAAATTCTGTCATCATTTACTCACCCTCCACTTGTTCCAAACATGTATGAGTTGTTAGTATCCGAACAGTTGATGGGCACCATTGACTTCCATAGTAAGAAGAAAAATACTATGGAAGTCAATGGTGCCCATCAACTGTTCGGATACCAACATTTTTCAAAATATCTTCTTTTGTGTTCAACAGAAGAAAAAAAACTCATACAGGTTTGGAACAAGTGGAGGGTGAGTAAATGATGACTTAAAATCAAATACTAAAAACTAAAATCATTTTAAATGCTACAAGTGAACTGAAGTATTACAACATTATAAATGTACTGTATGAAAATATATATTCATTTTTAAATATGATAAACATTACATTTAACAGTGATATTAAATTATGAGTGCAGATTTTAAAACATAATAAAATATATAATATTGGCCTATAACCAATATGGTTGAGATATATTGCACTCCTAATTATTTACCCATTTAATCATCTTCCTCCTGGCAAAAATAAAAACGGTCAGATTGCTATCAAAAGTAATACACACTTTCTGCAATAAGCTGCATGTGCAAATATGTGGGATGAATTAAAAGCCTATAAGGTTCTGGCCATAGAAAACACCACTAATATATTAACAATTCATGTTTGTATTGAGGAATCACAGTTACAAGCAACCTGTGGATTAAAGTAATGTTAAACCAGGGTGACTATATACCTATATAAAGAGTATTTATATACCAGCAAGCAAAACCCAATTAAAATGCAGCTCAGGCTTTTCCTCTTTTCCACCCAAAAACTTTAGCACAATACATCTGTTATTCTGACAAACAGACATGCCAACTTTGCTTTAATTTCCCACCTCAACGAAACCCTGAATTCCAAAAACAAGGTCAAAGTGGCCAGCCAGAAACACACACAATGTCTGACAGAGACATACAGAAGCACTGACTGGAAAGAACATCTCTTCTATAGTTTGACAGGACCTTATAAACACACACACACACACACACACACAATCTCCTGAGGGCCGTTAGTTGTTAGTTATCTGAGAGATGGATGCCAAACTGTGTGGACCTTCTTCAGGTGTCTGGCACTGTTATGAGTGATTTCCTCAGTCTTGTTTCTGGCAAAACATATGCACAATCGCTCATGATCCAATTGACTGTCTCATAGGACACTTTAACCTATAATTCATTCTCACATCAAATCATTTCATATCACGGCAAAGCATGTTGTGTCATGAAATTTAACGCCACATGACATAAAACTCCACATTGATTAGAGGAATGGATTCATTAAATACTTTATCACTGAAGTCTCCAACCAAACATTCACCTTGAAACATCTGCCATATAGGAAATCAGAGGTAAGTACTCATTTAAAAGTACTAGTACAACATGCTGCATCACTTTGAAACTCAATGACTTGAAACCCAAGAACTCTGTTTACTGACAGTCCCTCAGATAAACCATTTCCTCGTCACAGCCTGTCACCCTCACGCCTCGGCGGACATCTGACGTCCTGTATTAATTATAGCTATGCCGAGCTGCCCCACTGTCTTGCGAGAGATGTGGCAGTGCTTAAATTTCCTCTATTTATAGTAGGAGTTCATTCTAGGGTGGTGTAAACGAGTACAGAATGGGAAAAGGGTTTGGTCGGTTACGTGATCAGAAGGGAGTTTCCTTACCTTCTATGGATGGGGCCTGGTCCTGGGCCGCATACAGCATCTCCTTGAAAGCCTGTGTCAGAAAAATGGATATGGTAATGATGAGATCACAGTCTTATGGTGCAGGTCAATAGGGCAATGATGTAAAGAAGTCTTACATAGCCTATTAAGGCAACTTGTCATGGTAAAGAGAGTTGACTTTGCTGGATATGTAGGCTAATTGAGGTTACTTCAAAGTTGATCTAGCATGTTATAAGAGCATTGTTGTTTCTTTAAACATGAATATTAGACTCTGTGTGAAATGTGAAATCGGTTCTGTGGGAATTCTCTTAGCATGCCATTAACCTTACAGATAATGAAAATCACTGGACAATTACGCATGGTCTGTTTCCAGATATTTCAGGCTGTGAAACATATAACTTTATCCCAAAGGTCTTTGATAGATTCTCCTATAGTGCTGCAATTTAATTGCATGTGATTTCATGACAGCAAGGTTATTCTCAGTAATTGGTTTAGTTTCATTCTTTCAAGAACAAAACTGATTTCTTTAAACTTAGGGAGGCTCTGAAGATAATGCATAAATATAAAAATGCAAAAAGCATCTTAAAAAGTTGATTAGTATGCTTTAAAACATGTCAGAATATCTGCTAAAAATGAAAAAAAAGGTGCAGTTATTGCAACATTAAGGACAATTAAATCCATTTTTACCTGACCTGAAATTATTTCCATATTCATTAATTAATAGGAATATTAAATCTATAAATTATACATGTAAAATAATTAAATAAATTAAAAAAGATATAATCTGACATGTTGAAATGAATGTAAAATACAGTATATATTTACATGAATAAAACCAGTTATTTTAGCCCATCAAGCAAATTTTCATTTACCTGACAAAACAGACTTTTACAGTGAAGGATTAGCTACAGACTCACTTCTTTATATAATAAAATAAGATCTATTGGATGTAGTCAATGTAAACATTTAGCACGCAGGGGATGAAACATCTGGCAATTTACTACACAAGCTGCTCAGTGCAGGGAGCTGCTCAGTCAATATATAGCATAGATTGAAATGCATATCTAGACACAACAAAAGACAAATCACAATCAAGAACATTTATTTGCTAAGCAGACATCCCTCGTTCAAGCTGAACACCAACCAAAGCCAACTAACGTGGGGCTGTACAGATGCTGTGAACACTTCTTTTTACTATAAACAAATCTCAGTCAAGATCAAAGCCTGGCCAATGTGTCAACCAATGAAATAAGAGAATCGTCAAGATGGCGGCATTGCCATGGCAATGATGCTGATGACACAAAGGCTAGATGTGCTCTACAGAGTATTCAAGTTATACAACCAATAACTGTAACCAGGATACATTTGCACTATGCATCTGCCCATCCTCCAGAAATATGTGTGAATGCGCCTGTGTGAGGTTCAGGCAGATCTTTGCGTCCAGCGAGCCTGGCAACAGATGTCATCCCAGTGGGAGAGGGAGCGCAAGTCCCTGTGTGTATATGTGTTTGTGTGTGTGTGTAAGTGTGTGTTAGTGCATGTGCGAACAGCAGGTCTGTGAAGTCAGCCAGCAAGATCCATACGTCCCAGCTTTGAAGAAATATATTGTATGCATGCTCAATGCAAGCCATATATACACTGTATATATATATATATATATATA